ATAGAGCAGGTTGCGCCAAGGACGGATGGAAATCTGCTGTCGAGTCAAGCTGCCAAAACGTCGCGATGGTCGCGCTCGCGCTCGCGCTCGCGTGTACGGTACTCGGCGTCAGAGTGCCGTACCATGGCTGAGCCTCACTCAGCATGCAAGCACCCCCCTGCTGATGACGGACGGGATATGCATGGCGTTTGCCCCAGCAGCAGGGAACCGCATAGACTGCGGGAAACCTTGGGTGCCAAGCGTCCGGCTCGATGATCGTCGATCTACGCCGTGTGATCACGTCGCATGATTCGCCATCGCCATCGTAATCACTACACATTCGATGCTCCTTCGGGGCTGAGCATCAAGTAATATCGTCTGTCCACTTCGACGCACAAAGGAGCCAAGGAAGAGAAAGAAACAAGAAAAAGGGTAAATTCGTAAGTGAAGCCTGGTAGTAGAAGGGAGTATTTCGAGTCGTGTCGAGGACGTCACTGAAAGGGAAGAACAGCAGAACAAACAAATGACCAAGCAGTGGCAAGCAAAAACAAAGCGAACACCGTCATCGCGCGCAATGATGACGGCGGTCGCGGTGGGGGTGAAAATCAGGGGAAGCAAGAAAAAAAAAAAAAAAAGGTGAATAATGAAATGTGAGGGATGTGGGTCGTGTAGTGATGGGGCGTCAAGCGGTGTGCGTATCGACTGGACGAGGTCAGCGTTGCGTCCCCTCATCACCACGACATTCGCATAGCCTGTACGCCCCTCCTAATCGACCGGCTCCTCCGAAGCGTCCCTGAAGGATTTGGTGCTGGAATGCATGCTAGTTCGTCTCGCTTGCATCTCTGCCAATTCCCCATCCGTCGTGTTCGAAGGCATGACTTTCGTTGCGTGCATGTTGGGCTGTAGTGGTGCAGCAGCTTTGCTGCGCGACAGCAGGGGCGTTTGCGAAGCGTAAGAGCCGGGCAGATATCCGTTTGTGGTGCCTCTAGCATTCTTGGTGCCACTGCCACTGCTAGCCGAAGTCCAACGGAGCGTGGCGTCGGATGCGACGTTGGCCAGTTCCGAAGCTGCCGAGCGTCGATATCCCGAGCCGGAAGCCGAGGCGGAGGCGGAGGCGGGTGCGGGTGGCGCTTGTCGCTGTACAGTCCGAGCTTCCTCCTCCGTATCCTCCGCATCCGCATCCGCATCCGCATCCACTTCGTGCTCCTCTTGCTCTTCGTCCGACTTGGCAGAGGAGAAATCATCCTCCAAATCGGCAGCATGAGAAGAGTCTTTGGACGCGGGGCTGCTGTCAAAAGTGTTCGATTCGGCGTACTGCTGCTGCTGCTGCTGCGGCAAAGAGTGAAACAAGTCGTTGCCATCGCCATCGCCATCCAACAGCCAAGCAGCTAGATTGGCAGACTGTTTGAAAGCCGGCGTGCTCTCGTCCGCATAAGCGTCGTACCCTTCCGCCATGGCGAGGATGGGCAGCAGCGCACGAGGAGCATCGATTGTAGCTACGGCCACTTCGGCGGGGGAAGCTTTGATCTTGAGCGCGGCGGTGGCGGCGGTGGCGGCGGCGAGGGCAGGCTGCAGTGTTGTAGATCTAGGATGCTGCGCATCGCCAGCAACAACATCTTCGTCTGGCATATCCTGCACCTGACGCGATTCGCCGCCGGTAGCGTGCATCGCAGCAGCGGCCAGAGCAAGAGATTGCGAGACTAGCATTCTGCACTCCTCCACAGTGTTGCAGTCCCGCATGCGCCTGTCCAAAGTCGCCAGCACACGAGCCGTCTCGGATCTTGAGGTGGTCGACGAAGTTCGCGCGGGTCCCATCGAGCTGCGCGTCGATGGTGACTGAGCATAGCCGGCCGCATGATTAGCCGTGGGCGTCTTGTTGCCCACCGCGTGCTCGTCCATCGTACCACCGGCAGAGTAAGCCCAAGCGCTTGGCGGGGCATGCTCATTGCTGCTAGAGTGTCCGCCCACGCTTCCAGCCGTCCCAGCGGCGGCGGCAGCAGCCGCGGCATTGCGCTCAGCAGCAGCAGAGCTTCCTGGTCTCCTGATGGACGCGCCGATCGCTGCGTTGCTGGGACCGATGGAAGATTGTCGAGCATAGCTCCAGGGTATCTTGCGACTTGGAGGATCGGCGCGAGCTTGCTGACCCTGCGCTGGCGGCGGAGAAGGGGGAGTAGCAGCTCGGCGAAGCAGAGGCTCTTCGGGGTATATGCCGACAAGAGCACCGCTGTCGTTGGTCGATCTCGAAAGGTCAGCCACGCCAGCATTGACCGGAAGATCAGGAAGCGCTTCGGTCGCGTCTGGCGTCTTGACTGGCGGATCGGGCGTGGTGCTCTCGATGGCGGGTGATAATCGACCCTCATCCCCGTCTCGATATGCGGGAACGGCAACGCGTCCGCCAGCAGATGGTGGGCGATTGCTATGAGATCTGCCAAGAGAACCACCAACGGTGCGCGACTGCGGTTGCTGAAATTCGCTGATGGAGGCAACGCTTGCGTGTCCAACAGAGCTGGAGGCGAGATTATCTTCGCTGGCATTGGGCATGTTGGCAAAGGAGCCGTTGCGAGAATTGTTGCCAGAGTGCAGACGACGTGGTTGAGGAGTGACGATGCCCGAAGCGCTCGGCTTGCGCCCACCAAACAGCGACCTCACGCGACCGGACAAGGCGCCCTTGCGACCATCGCCAGTGTTGGAGGACAAGCTGATGACGCTCTGCCTGCTTTCGCGTCCGCTGGCTGGCGAGTCGAATTGACCCTGGGTCAGAGGACTGGGAGGCGTGCCGTTGAACATGTCTACCATGTCACGGACCGAAGAGGTTGTACCCTCGTTTCGCGGTTGCAAAGCGCCCTTGGCGCTGCTGCCCCTTCGCGATCCGCCAATTGGTCCAGCCGCATACTCATCGTCCACCGTGCCATAATCGACGGAGGCGGAACGTCCATTCTGCTCGCTTGGTCTGCCCGCTTCCGGAGGCCCGCGGTACGCCGAAGGTGGTTGACTGCCCGTCTTGGGGGTCAAGTTGGATCGGCTGCTGTTGCTAGCACGAATGGAGCTCGCTCTCGATGCGCTGCGCTCGCGTCCCGAAACTCCCGCAGCAGCGAGCAGCTGATCTTCCAGCGGCGCACCTTCGGCAGCTGATCGCGCCGAAAGCGGAGGAGGAGCGGGAGAAGTGGCGCTTCGAGCAGAGAGGGGTGTGGAGGATCCGCCATCGTCTCTGACTCCGAGGTTCATGACGCCAGGTCTTTTTCTCGCATTCTTCTTGGCCTCCGCGTCCTGCTTGGCCACCTCGATGGTGCGCAGCCTGTTGGGCGTCAAGGAGACCTTCATCGTCTGTCCGCTCATCATTAGCGCTTCGAAATCGTCCGGCTCCACAATCTCTGGGTTGGCCCCGTCGCTGGTCTGAGAGAGGGAGGGTTTGGGAGCAGCCATGTCCTGGCTGCTTCTGAAGCTTCCGCGTCGACGACCCTGCAGCAGGTTGCCCCAGCCGCGATCGCTGCTGGATCTACGGGTGAGCGTCGGTCCGGTGCTCGTAGCAGCCGTCTCCACGCTGTGATTCGTCGATCCGACGGCCGAGTTGAAGGCCGTCGCGCTGCCGGGCAAGGAGCTGCCGTGCGTGAGGCTTGTGCTGGCCGGACTCTGCGCGCCAAAGTCGCGGTCGTTGTGCCCATGGGCGCTGGCGCTGTAAGGTTGACTGCTCTCCCGTCCATGTCCTTGTCCCGCAGCTCGAGGTGTAGAGGTAAAGGAAGGGCTGATGGGTACGCCGGTAGAGCTCAGGTTGAGGCTCTGCCTCACAAATTTTCTACGACCAGCAGCTTCTTCCAGCTCAGACTCGTCGGGAACTTGCCAAGGACGAGCGCTGCCTCTTCGCGATTCGCCCTCTTCCCTTTCCTTTGACTGCATCTCCACCCGCGTGGTCATGCGGTCCCACCAACTAGCGCAGCTCTCATCCTCCTCCAAAGCCTTTCTCAGATCCATCAGTCCAGCTTCATCGCTATTGTCCCGCTCGATGATGCGTCCCACATTGTTCAGCACGTGTTCCGCCACGAATTCCAGCAGAGCCGTCACGTAGATGCTGACGGGCGGTGTGATGGAAGCGATGGGCCGGCCTTCTGAAGACATGATGGTCGTGTCTGCAGAAGTCGAGTGGGGCGAAGGATCTTCGAGCGAGCCGAGCGTGCTGTAGTACTGACACCTGACGCGAAGCTAGTGTGCGCGCCGGCCCACGCGCAAAGAGAGGGAGAAGAGGGGGGCGGGGGGTCAGCGGAAGAGCGGGCGGGTGGGCGGACATGGCGGTTGGAAGCGCCCAACAAGACTCACAGCCTCGTATGCGCTCTTGACGGGGAATCCCTCGGTGCCGTCCAGACGACTGGTAGCGCTGAGACCGAGGGGCACCTTGTTTCCCTCTTTGCGCATCCCATCCACATACTGCCTCATCTCCACTTCAGCTTCCAGCACGGCATTCTTGGCCAAGAGCGCCCCTGCACCCGTGCTTCCCAAAACGCGCAGTATGCCATCCGTCTTGATGCGGTCCGTAGCGAGGGATTTGGCCGAGCTGAGCACGAGCAGGAGCAGTTCGTCTAGCAGTCTGTTCAAAAAGTGCAAAGTCTCTGCTCGGATGCGCGTAGGTCTGGAAAAGGAGATGAGCGAGTTTGCGCTTCGAGCGGAAATGTAGGATGGCGAGTCTTGAAGCAGAATTCCTGCGGGTAGGGAAGGCATGGCTGTTCGTGGTCGAAAGGAATGCCATGGACGTCGAGGAAAGTCCCATTGCAATGAAGCGTCGCGTTTCGTGTGAGCGTGAGCGTGAGCGTGTGCGATGACGGAAGATCGGTTGCAAGTCGTGTATGCCACCGACGCGGGTCGAGTAGACAGGCCGTGTGTTGCGCGAGCAGTGGCGCCGCCGCCGCCGCCGCCGCCGCCGTCGTCGTCGTCGTAGAGGGAAATGACAGAGGTGGGGGCAGAGTGGGAGACGGGAGAAGAGAGGGATGTGGAGTCGCAGCAATGAGAATGCGTTGGAGTGCCGGATGATGTCGGGGTAGGCGTCGGAGCGGCCGAGGTGGTGAGAGGTGCGCGATGGCAAGATGAAGGTGGCGGCGGCCAAGGCGAGTTGTGAGAAAGGGATGAGGCGCGGACGGGCATGCGAGAGCGCGTGCCGGGCGAGGGTGAAGATGGCGGCGCATTGAGTGCGTGCGACGTGGATTGCGCGTGAGATGCAGCAGCAGCAGCGTCCGTCGCGTCAGCCAAATCAGTGAGTCCGGGGTAGGGATGAGCAGCGGAGATGCGGACATGGCAATCAGTTTGCAGTGCCGGTATGTTTGCCATTGGGCCGGATTTGGGTGGCGTTGGTGGAGGCGGTGGCGGAGGCGGATGAGGAAAGGAGGAGATGGCGGATTGCAGCGTGTCGGTGCCAGTGGAAGCAGGTCGACCATGATGCGTCGTCGTCGTCGTCGTCGTCGTCATCATCATCATGGAGTTGATGAATTTGCGTTTGAGTGACATGGAAGCCGGGGCGCGCGAATCGGGACGTCGATGTTGGTGGTGAGCGTGGCGCGAGTTGGACATGGACGTTGCCGCAGCATCGTGAGCAGGAGCGTCGGCGTCGGCGTCGGCATCGGCGTCGAGGTTAGGGCGTGGCGAAGAGGAATGGGGAGGAGCAAGCCAGGTCGTGCCAGGTCCATCGCGCATATCACAAGACATGACGATGTTGGGCGGAGAGGAAGATGCGCGAGTGCGGCGGCGGCGAGTGTGAGTTTGGGAGCAAGAGTCGATGGTTGCGCATCGATGGCAGGAGCAAAAGCAAGAGCAAGAGCAAGAGCGAGAGCGAGAGCGAGAGCGAAGTGGTGATGATCGTGTTGGAGTGAGGGCGCGATGGCAAGGCGCATGAGAAGTCGTGTCGCACGCCGCCGCAGCAGCAGCAGCAGCGGTGGGAGAGGGAGACGGAGAGAGAGAGAGAGAG